TCTCCCTGCAGCCAATCCAGCTGATCAGAGCCATATGTGATCACAGTGTCACTATGATCACATGACTTAGATCGCCTGGGTTGTCAGGTAGGTACCCCAGTCACAATCCGAATGTATAAGTATCCAAGCCATAGGGAGAGCCAGATTGTTAGGGTGTGCTATGCATTAAAGCTCTCATTTTGTAGGATGGCATAACAAGCCCTAATGTTGAAACATGTTCATTTTTTTATTTTTTTTTAAGCCTTCAGCAAACTTAAAGAGACAACAATACCACAGTTATCCGAAGAAAAAGGATTACCGGCTCTAGTAGGCTTTCATCCTCGCCTTGAGGCAGTTGGCAGTTTCTCAGAGGTAAATTGACTCTTTCATATGTTCATTCTAACTAGAAATTGTGATACCTTTTAAAGACTAATTGCTATTCAAGCTTGTTGCGAAGTACCTTACTGTCATTAAATCTCACATTGCCGTATTGCACAATATATTGGTGCTTTAGTGTTAAATTATGATATATTTATGACATCTTTTCTAAGCAATAATTTAAACTATATTTGTAAATCTTATGTGAAACCCTTTCTAAATCATGGTCATTTTATGATTTACACCTTGTTGCTCTGTCATGGTTACAGAGAAATCATATATCTGCCAAAATGTGCAGTGACATGATTACAGGCTCTCATCTGCCAACTTACACCCCTTAGGTTGGGTATTATGGATCTTGTAGTCCATAGCATGGGGTACACAGGAGGTTATCTATCTATGAATATCCTATGCAATAAGCAATCGCAAATTGTTTTCAGAATTTAGTTCAATGTTGTTGTTGTTTTTATTCTTTTGGATTGTGTTAATGTCAGAATTAACCAATGGGTGTTTTTAACCAGTAATTTATATGAATTTTAAACTGCAGTTTACTGGGTACAGGTAAATTTAAAATCACGGAGCCTGCAGTCTCTAGAGAATACCCTATTGGTTTGTTGGCAACCATATTACGTTGTCATAATAATTGTATGTCTATTTGCTTTCTAGATGAAAATACAAAGACCCACATTAACCAACTGAATAGTGGAAAAAAGAAGAGGAAAAAATACAAATCTTTTTCAATGAAGTTTTAGCTGGTTTTCTAAAACTGAGATATGAATTGTAATGGCAAACTTCCTAACTAATGGAAGAATATAATGCACTAATACTTTTTAAAAACATTTAAATATGTGGACCAAAACTGCTACTTGACAGTATAAAGTAATTTAAAAATGATTAATTAAATATGATTGGAAATGTTGTGTACTCAGAAATGAGTAATATTATGCTATATGTGATTTTTTTATTTTATTTTATTTCACTATCCCATGGGATTTAAAAAGAGGAAAATAGAATATGCAACAGTTTTTATATTTCCCAATCTTATTTTGCTTATTTGTACCTTTGACGTTTGTATTGCATTGTATTTGGACAAAATAAGAATTTGCTTTTAACTGTATATGTACTGTATCAACTGTTAATCAGACTGGCATTGATTTAGTTGTTTTAATATTATGAAGACATTATCTTAGACCAAAGGGAATAAATATATATATATTGTTTTGCTCCAAAAGGTACATATGTTGGAATACAAGGCTGATTGGAAAACCACATAAAATATTTAGATGTATATTTGCCATAATATTTTTCAAGCCTTAAACTGAAAATATATTTTTGTATCAGCTTTTATAAGTAATTAATTGGTAAATATTTAATTTTTATCGAATATTCATTAGTCAAATGTTTCAATGGAATCATTTACTAAATATATTATGTAATGTGATGAATATAATCATGCTGTGTATATTCGTATTTGCATGAATGGGAACTTTAATAAAACATATTATTGATTATAATTTTGTTTTCACTGTTACATTGAAGTTGACATTTGTTTATGCTGAAGGTGTAAATTATATATTATTTACTGGGGTCTATGAATCATTCTGGCTGAATGAGTTTGTTTATTGGAAAGGTTATGCTGTGATCAGCTGAGCAAATGTAGGGAGCTCGTAGACGCAGTCTTCCTCAGGATTAATGGAACACGACAAATTGTTACAAAAATAAGTTATTTTCAGTAAGATAATCTTTTAGACCAATATTGAGTCAGGAAAGGAGTCAGCAAAAATGTAGAAGTTTTGTGTGCTCATAAAAATGACATGGCAAAGACAAAAAGGAATTGGGGGCACTCCCGAAACATGCATTTTGCAGAAATGGTGCTGTCGTAGTGACCAAAATTAATACATGATAAAGATTAAAGAACAGCACACACACAAAACAGTAAATTTTTTAAATGTTATAAGGCTACTTAAAACCACCTATCTGTATCCAGACTAGCCCACTGGTATACTGGGAAATTTCCGAGTGGCCCGCGGCACCTGGGGCCGGGCAGAAAGCCCTAATCATTAGATTAATGTAATTTAAATATTAGACCTGTCAGTCTCCCTTCAAAATTTACATCAATTCTGGCCATATGTCCCACTCCCGCATGTAAACCGTGCTCCCTGAACATAAGCGCTGCCTCCCACACACAAGCCCCACCCCTGTTGCTTGTCCCACACAAGATGTTGATGATGCTGGAAGGAAGAGGCCACAAAATTACAACTTCACCTAACAGTGCCAGGTATGCTTTAGCCATGACAGTGATTGAATGTGTGCAACTGCCTGCTAGTGAGTGAACTTGTATGTGTGTGTGTGTGTGTGTGTCTGCTAGTGATATGAGCTTGTATATGTGTGTATGGTAGTGAGTAAGCTGGTGTGTGTTTGTGTGTGTGTGGGGGCCTGCTAGTGAGTGAGCTTGTATGTGTGTGTGCCTGCTAGTGAGTGAGCTTGTATATGTGTGCCTGCTAGTGAGTGAGCTTGTGTATGTGGCTGCTAGTGAGTGAGCTTGTATGTGTGTGTGTCAGTGAGCTTGTCTGTAGTGAGCATGTATGTGCCAGTGAGCTTGCCTGTAGTGAGCATGTGTGTGTCAGTGAGCTTGTCTTTTGGAAGCATGTGTGTGTGTGTGTCAGTGAGCTTGTCTTTTGGAAGCATGTGTGTGTGTCAGTGAGCTTGTCTGTGGTACACATGGGTGTTTTAGTGAACTTGTCTATAGAGAGGAGGTGTGTGCCAGTGTGCTTGTGTGTAGTGAGCATGTGTGTGTCAGTGTCCTTGTGTGTAGTGAGCATGTGTGTGTCAGTACGCTTGTGTGTGTCAGTGGGGTTGTCTGTAGTGAGTGTGTGTGTCAGTGAGCTTGTCTGTAGGACACGTATGTGACAGTGAGTTTGTCTGCAGGGAGCATGTTTGTCATTGAGCTTGTCTTTAGTGAGCATGTGTGCATCAGTGATCTTGTCTGTATTGAGCATGTGTGCGTCAGTAAGCTTTTTCTGTAGTGAGCATGTGCGTGTCAATGCACTTTTCTGTAGTGAGAATGTGTGTGTCAGTGAGATCTTCTGTAGGGAGCATGTGTGTGTCAGTGAACTTGTCTGTATGGAGCATGTGTGTGTCAGTGAACTTGTTTGCAGTGAGCATATGTCTGTGTCAGTAAGCTTATCTGTATGGAGTATTTATGTGTCAGTGAGCTTGTCTGTAGTGAGCGTGTGTGTATCAGTGAGCTTGTCTGTAGTGAGCATGTGTGGGTCAGTGTGCATGTCTGTAGTGAGCATGTGGGTGTCATTGAGCATGTGTGTGACAGTGAGCTTGTCTGTAGTAAGCTTGTGCATGTCAGAGTTTGCCTGTACTAAATTTGTGTGTGTACCAATCAGCTTGTCTGTAGTGAGCCTATTTGTGTGCATCAGTGAGCTTGTGTTTTTATGTCAATAAGCTTATGTATATCAATGAGATTGTCTGTCTGTGAGCCTGTGTATCAATGAGCTTGTTTCAGTGAGATGTGATATTGCCTGTGTCTTCATGTGAGTATGCTTACTGTATAATTAAATGTATTACTCTGAAAGGACCAATATTTTAAATTATAAAAAGAAACATACAAATAATATGTAAGGCTATGTTTTGACACCGCAGAATTATGCGTTATATATAAACACATTATATATATATATATATATATTTATAGAGAGGGAGAAGGAGAGAGAGAGAGGGAGAGGGAGAGAAGGTAAAGAAATGGATCACTCCAATGGGATTTTAAATGTATATTTGAAAAATAACCCTTTCTGGGTCTTTATCAAGATGAATATCAGCAAGTGAAATACACGAATATATACCAAATAATAAATATGTGACTTACCCTAGGTGTGTGATCGTGCCCATCAGTGCTCCCAAACCCGGAAGTGACCTGAGAATGTGCGCATGCACGTAGCGGCGTGTGAGTGTGTGGTGACGTCATTCATAATGACGATCTATGTGCTGAAATGTCCTGGCAACTAGTTTATCTCGTAACTACAGAGACCAGATCCTTCACCTGTGTGAATAAAAACAACACAGTAGCTGATTTCTAAGCATAGAGGCTAGAAAGCTAGTACAGGAATACAGAAGATAATATGTATTACAGCACATGGTTGGTACATGTACATGTTTTTGAAGGTGAGTGCGGAAGATCAGACTATTTTTGTATTGATAAGTGCTGTGGTGCGGCACTCCCTGAGCACCCATAATACGATTGCCTTTGTTGATTAACCTGGATTAAGATTCTACTCCAATCAATCTTATCAAGTGTGGCACAATGGAGGATTTCATGGCCAGAGAAGGAGCTTTGCTAGACACAGCAGATACACTGAAAATAGCTGAATCTGAAGCGGAGAATATTTTATGGCATAAAACTACGGATGACCTTACATATACTGACTCTATAAGAGATTTAAAAAAATGATTTGATTAAACTTAAAAGAAGGGAGGTGGATCTCGACCTTCATGGCACATTCATCTCTGAATACTATCGGGCAAAATTAATTCCAAGGGGCTTCAGAGTATGTAATGCCCCAACTATAGGAAGACATAATACAGAGTTCTGTAGGAAATAGACCAGTATTGCCAACAAATGTGCATTAGACTGGATGATTATTGTAGTGGAGGAGGTAAAGAATGAATTGGCCCTTGTTAAGGAATCCTGCAACAAGGTGGAAGCTGAGAATACAACTACCCTTGCTGATCCAACCTCTACGCAACACATAATTAAATTACAGAATGAAATCATGAGGTATAGAAATGACTTGATTAGGTTTAAAAAGCAGAAACGGGAACAAGTGAATACCACTGGCTCAGAGGGTACGTAAACCACAGTTCCTGAGTATCGATACAAGCTCAGATGAATGTACTTCTGAAACATAAGGGGCAGATCCCCCTACAACATTCACATCCAGAACCAGAGGAGACAAAGACTATGACCTATCAGGTGGAGCCAGAAGGGGAAGATCTGCAAGCTCCCGGTCCAAACCTCCCATAAAGAAATAACCAATCTGGTATTTAATGTATCTTCCAAAAATTTGACTTATGACCACATTAAGATCCTATCTAATGCCTACAACAAATCCGGACAAGTTCAATATGGTAGTTGAATTGTACAAAAGGAACAGAACCCTCAATATCAATATCCCCAGGGATTAGTGGGAAAAGAAAGAAAAACATCCCTTCAAGTTGAAAAATACATGGGAACCTAAAACCACAAATTAAAACCACAAACTCTTCAGTGAAAACGTTTGCTCAGGTTAACCGATATGACACTGAACACATCTTGAAACAGCACACCCTTAAAGGAGACAATCTGACCAAGAAAGAAAGAGCATCATTGAAGGATTTGAAGGAGGACATCAGTATCACAATTAGGCCAGCTGATAAAGGGGGCGCTCTAGTGATACAGGATTACTCTGACTACACAATGGAAATCCTAGAACAACTATCTGATATCAATACATATCAATGGATTACTTACAATCCCACTTCTGCTATATCAGAGAAATTGAAAGCATTGATAAAACGTAGTTTGGAATCAGGATGGTTGGATGAACATACTGCAACATTTTTGATCAATGAGAATCCTAAGATACCCATTCTATATACTCTGCCGAAGGTCCACAAGGACCCGGCCAAACTACTAGGAAGACTGATCGTCTGGGCCTGAGTTTTAGAGCCATTGGCGAAATTTGTGAATTTCCATTGCAAATCGAGCATTGATACAATACCTACGGGTCTTAAGGACACTCCTGAGTTTTGTCCAAAATTAAGAAGTTGAATCTACTTAAAGGTATAGGGATATTTGCCACAGTGGATGTTAAGAATTTGTTCACAGTTATACCCCATAATGAAGGGATAGAGTCAATGCCCACCGGGCTTTCAGAGCGTATAACATACCATGGACCACCTATTGAGTTTCTTTTAGAATGTCTCAGTTTTCTTCTGTGCAATAATTATTTTAGATTTGAGAAGAATTTTTTTTTCAACGCACCAGGACTGCTATGGGGTCAGCCATAGCAGTGGCATATGCCAATTGCTGTATGCATCTCTTTGAAAGATCGAAAATTCTTGGCAAATTTGGAGCCAAGTTGCTAACGTACCACAGATTTGCGGATGATGTCTTTCTTATATGGTCAGGACTGCTAGAGCAATTATCAGACATGATCGAGGGATTGAACCAAGAAGAATCTTCCATCAAATTGAGTTTAAATCAGCATACGGATAAAATCCAACTCCTTGATGAGGAGGTGCACAGATCTGATGAACACATTGGATTTACTTTGTATAAGAAACAAGCAGATAACACACTGTTTTCATCCTCCATCACTCAAATATTCTTTACCAATTTCTCAATTCCTTCGAGTGTTGAGGTATAATTCGGATATAGAGAATCAACACAGACAAGTAGAAGATATGAGAACATCCTTCCTAGAATGGGGTTACCATAAAGAGATACTTCAGAAAGCTCTTACCAAGGAAATCTCCAATCAAGAAGGTAACAAAACAGATGAGGATCCAATGAAAATCACTATACCGATGGTGTTTCACCCTGCCAGCAGCAATATCTCTAAGAACATAAGAAACTGTTGGGATATATTATCCACTGATCAGTCACTGAGTACCATATTTAAGACACCACCCAGAATAGCATATGAAAGAAACAAAAATCTTAAAGATTTGCTCATGAAAACAGATTTGCCACGTGAGAAACTCCTTCCAACTATGACGGGAAGAAGGGATGTTACAGGTGCAAGGGCTGTGTCACCTGCTGTCTGGTATCACTTTTGCCCATCCACATACAGACAAACTATATACTATCTCTCATTATATCACTTGTCAATCTGACCACGTTATATATCTGATTTCCTGTCCTTGTGGTTTATTTTACGTGGGAAAAAAACGATCTAACGTTAAGGGACAGAATCGTAGAGGTTATAGATCTACCATTACTACAACCTTTAGGGACAGGAAAATGGATAAGCCTGTGGTGAAACAATTTTTGCAATTCCAACACAGATTACCTACATTGAAGTTTATGGGAATCGATATGATACCACAGTTACCCAGATGGGGTGATCGTTCCAAATTACTCTTACAGAAAGAAACTTCCTGGATGCGACAATTGGACACCATTGACCCTGGGGACTGAATGAATATATCTTTCAACTAATTTTTGGAAATAAGATAATGATCTGATGGTTGTCTCTCATTCTAAATACTTGAAGGTTTACTTCTTCAGTTTTTTTTCTCTGTATTTTTTCAGCTTTCTTTGTATTTTTGCCAACAGTTTTTACTTATTCTCTTTTTATATTATTTTTCATATTTTTCATATTTTTTTGGATAATGGAGCAGTGGTCTATAATTATAGACATAGATCTGCATTAATGGAGTTACCTGTTGTTTGACCAGTTGTTTTGGTCACTTAATTCTAAGATATTTCGCTCAGTTACTTGCAGTAGCATATAATTTACTGATAGTAATGTTTGCTATATATGTACAGTGGTGGTGGTAGTTTGGCCCACACTATTATTCAACACTGCATACACCATTTCCATATATTCACACTTTACACACACTCTTCACACTATCATCTTTATACCCTTTCACTACACTCTTATAATCACGTATGGTTCTTCACTGTTGTGTGATATTTTATATTTTTTATGTTTATCACATTTGTTCACTCTTATTTCTCTATTCCACAGTCTATTCTCTCCAATATTCACTCGTCTTTACAGTGTGGTTGCCTCTATAACTTCATCTGATCTCTATCACATTTTTCTTCATTTGCTGTAATACATATTATCTTCTGTATTCCTGTTCTAGCTTTCTAGCCTCTGCACTTAGAAATCATCTACTGTGTTGTTTTTATTCACACAAGGTTGAGGATCCGGTCTCTATAGTTACGAGATAAACTAATCGCCAGGACATTTCAGCACGTAGTTCTTCATTACGAATGACGTCCCAGTGCACTCACACGCCAGTACGTGCATGCGGATGTGCACATTCTCAGGTCACTTCCTGGTTTGGGGGCACTGATGGGCGCAATCACACACCTAGGGTAAGTCACATATTTATTATTTGGTATATATTCATGTATTTCACTTGCTGATATTCATCTTGATAAAGACCCAGGAGGGTCGAACCGTTGATTTATTTTTCAAATACACATTTAAAATCCCAGTGGAGTGCTCCGTTTTTTTTACCTTGGTTATTTTGGCGCTGGAAGCACCCAGTTATTATTAGATTTATGTACATGGTTTTGAAGGTGAGTACTAGAGATCAGACTATTTATATATACACACACACACACACATATATATATATATATATCTATCAGGGCTCGACAAATCCAAGATCACCATGGCGACTAAAAATGTTATCCTGGTGCCTGGGATTTTGTCCTGGTAGCCCTTTAGTAAGGGCCGCCTGTCCGCAGCAGCCTGGGAGGGGGCCGGTCACCCACACGGGGCAGCCTGGGAAGGGGCCAGTCACCTGCACATGACAGCATGAGAGGGGGCCGGCCACCCACATGGGGCAGCATGAGAGCTGGCCTCCAGCCTGGGGTAGCATGGGAGACAGCATGCGAGGGAGCAGTAATCATCCTGCTCTGTTTAGTGATGCAGGGAGCCAGAATATGAGATAACTGTGGCCCCGACATCACTACAGAGGGACTGCAGGAAGATGATCAGAGAATTCCCACTGGACCCCAGGGAAAGGTCCACTCACCTCTCCCAAAGGTAGGGATGCTGGGTGGACATAAATGAAAATTAAAATATTAATTGTCTGTGTGTGTCTGTCTGTCTCTGTGTCTGTCTGTCTGTGTGTGTCTGTGTGTGTGTGTGTGTCTGTCTGTGATGTGTGTGTCTGTTTAGGTACCTGCTCCCCTTCTGATCACATAGGAAAGGTGTTTTTACTCACTTTTGTCCCACGCTGTGCCGGTTTTGCCGCGACTAGTCCCACCTCCATGGCTGAGATCATTAATCTTCATGATCACAGCTAAGTCAATGCTTTCATATAGGAAAGCGTTAGAAGGATATTGCGCATATGCAGAAAAAGGCTGTGCTGCGCCAAGCAGCATCTCCTCATAGAGATTTATATTGAATCAGTGCATCTCTATGGAGAACATTCAGCGCCTCCACGCAGAGCTTAGAGATGCTGAACCTGAGCGTGAGTGACTGTCACTAAACTCTAGGAAAAAAATTAAAAAAGATACAGAACACAATATGATGCTGAAATTTATTAAGTGACAACATAAGTTCAAGAAGCAGGTTGTCAGGATTACATTGATCCAGTATGCAGAATAGCATCACACCCTAGAACTAAGGGTAACGTCTTAGAATGGCCGGACTTAACATACCCGAGAATAGTCAGAAAACTAGCCGAGGTCAGGGACACAGTACGAGACACAGTGATAAGGAAAAGCCAAAAGTCAAGGGTACTAGAAGTCAGGGAAGTCAAAACGAAGCTAAAGTAAAAAAACAGAAAAACACGATCAGGAACACACTCTCGGATAACCAGCTAGTGGAAACCACGACAGGGCACTGACCAAAATGTAATTTGGGTTTAAATAATGCTGTAATTGATTGTCTCTGGCCTCTGACCCCAAAACCCCATGACGTTGCACGCATGTTGGCACCATCTTTGATATGGGCGAAGGTGAGTCTCCTATTAAAATAGGTGATGTAAGGCCACAAAAATTGCCCTCAGTTCCAGCTAGTTGGAAGATGCTCCTCGGAGGCATACAGGCCATTTCCCTTGAAGGTATATCTGGTTCAGATGGGTGCCCTATCCTGTTTGGCATGCGTCCGTGGTGATATATTCCAGGGGAAAACCTTTAGTCAAGTTTGCCTTTGAGAGCCACCATCTGAGAGCTTCCTTTACTTTGGATGTAAAATGAATGGGCTGGCTCAAATCCATATGCTTGTACTGGGTCAGGAAGGATCTTTGTAGGATACAGATATGCCATTGAGCCCATCGGGTAAGGACTATAGTAGATGGAAGGGACCCCAGGATGCTCATGTAAGCTCTTGCTGTGATCTTGTGAAGACAAAGTATTCTCATCAACTTCTCTCTTTTAACTGATATCTTCTGTCTTCTGATAAATGGACAAACCCTAGATTTGTATCGAACCAGGCTCCCAGATAGATCATCTGTTTACTGGGTTGGAGTTGACTCTTCTATAAATTCAGATCCCAACCATGGTTCTCCAAGACTGATTTGGCCATATCTCGATGGGCAATCGAAGATGGGATATTATTTGCCAACATCAGTATGTCGTCCAAGTAGTGGAAAGTGAAGATACCCTTCTTCCTGATTTCTGCAATCAGAGAAAAATAGGACTTTGGAGAACACCCTGGGTGCTGAGCTGAGGCAAAATGGAAGGACCAGTGTTTGTTGTTTAGACAGAACCTCAGGAGCCTCTGATGTACACCAGTGATTGGGATGTGGAAATAGGCATCCTTGAGATCCATGGAAATTAACCAATCGCCTGGAGATACTGTCTGGATGATGGAGGCTTATGACTCCATCCTGAATCATCTGGCAAACAGAAAGGTATTGAGGATGGACAAATCCAGGATTGGCCTCTATGCATCCTTGACTTTTTGGGCCAGAAAAAGTCTTGAATAGAATCTTTGACATCGTTCTTCTTAGGGAACTTGGCAG